GCACAACATTGCTGATCCTTTTACGAAGGCACTCACGGCTAAAGTGTTTGAGGGCCATCTAGAAAGTCTAGGTCTATGAGCATTGTACAGTTAGTCTAGGGCAAGTGGGAGAAATATAATGGGTATAGTGTATGCCCTACTTTATTGTTTTTTCCCTTTGCTTTATGATAATGTACACCCCACTCGAGTTTAGTTCAAGTGGAAGTTTGTTCGGTGTGTTGCCCTAAACTCGTAGTTTGTATTTTGTGTAAAAACAAATGTATATTCAATAAATTTGTTGTTGAATTTATAACATTGCATTGTCCAAAATCCAATAAACTAAACATCCGAGGTTATTTTAGTGTAACCGGGACAGTATATGTGCTGGGTATATATTTGATATACTGGATATATAATTGATATACCCCTGATACACTAGGTATATGTTTGATATACCCCTGATATACAAGTGGATAATGTCCCGTGAATAACCTAAAGGGTCTATAGTATATGGATAAGGCTGGGTACCTTATCATGGCAACACTATGGATACAGCCCACTCTGTAAAGGTTACAGATGTTAGGTGTGTTGCCCTAAACTCGTAGTTTGTATTTTGTAAAAACAAATGTCTATTTAATAAAGTTTTATTCAATAAATTTGTTGTTGAATCCTAGCTTTGCATTGTCCAAAATCCAATAAACTAAACATCTAAGGTTATTTATGATGTAATCGGGACAGTATATATACTGGGTATATAGGTTATATACGGGGTATATATTTGATATACCCCTGATATATGAATGGATAATGTCCTGTGAATAACCTAAAGGGTCTAATAATATATGGATAAGGCTGGGTACCTTATCCTGGTAACACTATGAATAACCCAAAGTACTAGTCACGTTTGTTCTTCATTTTAGGGAATTAGTTCCTGGAGGCAGCTTGACGCCGGAGAGATTATCCGTAGTGTTGCCAGGATAAGGTACCCAGCCTTATCCATATACTATAGACCCTTTAAGTTATTCACGGGACATTATCCATTCATATATCACGGGTATATCAAATATATACCCCATATATCAACTATATACCCAGTATATATACTGTCCCGATTACATCAAAATTAACCTTGGATGTTTAGTTTATTGGATTTTGGACAATGCAAAGCTATGATTCAACAACAAATTTATTGAATAAAACTTTATTAAATAGACATTTGATTTTACAAAATACAAACTACGAGTTTAGGGCAACACACCCAACAAAGTCCCACTTGAACTAAACTCGAGTAGGGTGTACATTATCATAAAGCAAAGGGAAAATACAATAAACTAAGGCATACACTATACCCAATTACATTTCTCCCACTTGCCCTAGACTAACTGTACAAAGCTCGTAAACCTAGACTTTCTAGATGGCCAACAGTTTAGCTGTCAGTGCCTTTGTAAAAGGATCAGCAATATTATGCTCTGTGACTGGGGTTATGCTGAATGCACGCACTAAACGTGGTAACAATTCTATAGATGCAAGCGCATACCTGTCAGAGTAATATAAAATGGATGGAGTATCCAAGTATCGATCCTCAAGGACTTCTAAATAATTTCCAAACTCTAAAAGTTTTAATGAATAGTGAACGTTGAAATGAGTGATTCTTGTAAAATGGGAAGTGGTCACAAATAATTTTTTTGGATTTGGGATTTGGTCTTATAATGGTAAAACCTAGCCCGAATTACTTCAAGTTAGCCAACAAAGAGTCAAGGATACCCTAAGGACGATATGCATTTTACTTTAGGAACCAACGACTACGCTTTTCACTTGACTTATGTCTAAGCAAGTTCAAAGTCCTAAGACATTCCCTAATATGTCTA